GCCCAAATTCAAGAAAAACATCACATGCTATCAAGCAACTGGTACGAGTGCACCATCTCCCGTCCATGCGAATTTCCCCTCGCATCTATCTTGGAATTGCCCTTTCCTGATTGTTCTACTACAATAAATGGAGCCTAGGCCAGTTACACAGAAGGTTTTTTAAGAAATCGGAGAGAAGGAAGACCTAATTTATCCAACTTGACTGCCCCTCTTGCCAGCTGTGGCAGGCGACTTGGTTGATCATAAACCCTAATCGGATCAAGTGGATGCAATAGACCTTTATTAGCGAGTATGTCTGCCACCGTATTTGCTTCTCTAAAGCAGTGAGAGAATTACCCTGGACCCTCAGCCAGCTGCCATATTTGAAATACCTCTCTACGAATCTGTCACGGACACTAAAATCTGCGTTGCAATATGCCTATTAACACCAACGAGTCAGACTGTACTCGAATTTGTGTAAAACCTTTCTGACCGCAAAGTCAGAGACCTGCTAACAGAGCCAATACCTCAGCACGCAAACTCATACTGAACCCTAGGAAAACTGAATATCCTATCAAAGCTTGATCATCTGAGGCCCGGAATACACCACCCCCGATATTCGTATTTGCATGTACAATTGAAACTTTGAGTACAAGTTGTCTTGATCAGCCACAGATAAACAAAGCCAAAATTGAAAATTTATTCCTTTATACGCTCATTCACTGTGAAGAATTCTCTCATGACTTCTGCAAACATGAAACCCATGTTGATTTATCTTCTTTTCATTTTGACATTTGGATTGCATCTGGTACGTTCTGTTGCTGAGCTCCAATACTTTAACTACCCTATTGAAGCTGATGAACCTCTTGTTTAAATGGTGTTTGGAGAAGCGCTAGGACAAAGAAACCAATCAGATCAATTTGATTTTAAGTTTGCAAACTGTTCTTGAGTTATTAATCCTCGATTAGCAGGTTATCATTAGTTGTCTACAAGCTATTCAATCTTAGGTTATCTCAAGTGCTAAGTCTTAACTACAGAAGTCTTTAGTTTGTCCCTCTATACATCTAAAGAGTTCAATAGCATTTTATTGAAGATTTACACGAAATTCCTCCTTTATCGAGTCCCTTAATCAATACTATAGATGGAGTTTGAACAAATTTCACGCAATCTTGATGGCTTCTTTAAGAAGAATTTTTAGAAACATGTTATTGTAATATTTTCAAAATGAGGACATGAGTGCGATGAAACACAATCTAGATGAGAACTTCTTCGTATACATAGAATACTTATAATTTTGGTTACAGTTATAATATTTCTAGTTGTAAAGAAAATTAGAAAAATGTCTCCAGCTTAATTGCTTTTTTGTCAATATTACTTCATGCATGTTTATCTTTGAGAAGTCAAGAGAAATTTCAGGATGTACAGTAATGAAAAAAGGGGTAAACTCAGAAAAAAAATTTGCTTTGTACATCGCTCTATTTCGAAATGCTAGCTGTCCTAATTTGTAGCGTATTAATATTGGATAATATGCAGCCTCGTTAGTAAAACACTTTACTTAAAACTAAGAGGTTATGAATTTGAATTATTACGAGGATAAGTGGGGAATCATTATTAATTCTCTTTGGGAAAAAATGTTGGATAATATGCTTAAAAATGGGAATTTGAGATTTCAATCTTTTGTTCAAAAGTTCACATTGTTCTACCCTGCAATTGTGTATTGCTGGGTGAGTTTATGAATTTTGAAATCCTGTGCTAATATATTTTCGTTGTGTAGATGGCAATAATGGGAAAGAATGTGGACTTTAAATTTACGCTTTCAAATGCATTCATTCTCATTGGAGATGAATTAATTTGAAGGCGTGGAAGTTCCAGTGGTTAAGGAATTTGTCTATAACATCTACTCTGACCCTAGCTTACAAAAGCACTGGTAAAATGGTTTTTTTTTTTTTTTTTAAACTTTATAACTCAGTATTAACTTTTGAATTAACTTTTTACATGTTCCCTCAGAAGACAATGTTGAATAACTATGGTATCTTAAGGATGAACTTGTCTACAACTCAGGAATGATTAATGGGCAGTTATCATCAACTTAAAGGTGTAAAACTTAAAAGAAAAAAAAAAGATGGCGTAAAATATCACGCCTTCGGGTGAGTTTAGTGTCATTAATTTATGTAAAACTTTTTCTCATTTTCTCTTTTCACTTCTCAAATTCCACCTTTTTCCTGTTAGAAAATTTTTAAAAAAAATAGAGCATAAATTAGAGATTCTACGTTCAAGTTCGCAATTGGTGTTAGATTGGACGGATCATCTATTGGTGTTAATCCCACAATTTGTCAGTGTTGCAATTTTATCAAGAAATAAAATATGTCTCTAGCTCCCTTCTATATATGATTGGTATGGAATTCTGTCTTAAAGAGAAAAAGAAAAAAAAAAGTCATATTTCTGGTGCCTGTTTTACTAACTTAAGCAATATCCTCTTTCAATTATCTTAGATTTAAATTCGTACTAAAGAAATACACCGGATTAAGACCGTACAGCCAATGGGAAACTCAAAATTTTTTAAAAAGAAGGTTACTTGTAATCAAACATTTTTATAGGAGAATATATATCAGGGTGAACCTAGCTACAAAATTTCCAAGGGTGATAAAGGGGGGGGGGGGGGGTGAATTCAAACATATTAAAAAGTTTGGTAGCTAAATTTGTAATTATTTTGTAAAGTTGATGCCAAACCCTCACGTATTATGACTTCACCACTGCACCTTAAAGGACCTATGTTTCTACATTCTAACATCTATACTGCCTTACCTTTATTCCAGGGAAACAATATATGTTGACTTTCACATCAATGGACATGACAATTTTGTAGAACACATTGGTAGCATTTACAGGTAATTGACTAAAAAAATTCTATGCAATACTTACATCAAAGATTTGGATAGACTATTATTTGGAATAATTACTGTAACACTTTTTGTGATGTGATGTATGTGAGATAAAAAAGTGATCGAGAATGTAAAAGGGTGAATTGGAAAATGTGTTTAATTATAATGCAAACGAAATATTATTTGAAAAATTTTGATATCCAAACAAATTCAATCTCATGTTGATTTATGTCATGAAAATTTGACAACTCCTTTTTTTTTTTTTTTTTTTTTTTTGTCGTTTGGCAAAATTCAGCCATATCCAAATTGCTGTTGGATGGGGCTCCAAGGTATACGCACTCAGAAATTGTGTTAAACCATTAAAATCAGAGAAAATGAAATTCTATTTCAATGGCACTGAAGAGTACATGGTAATGGAATTCAGTCAATGGGAAGCAGCTGCTTTTTTTATTTTATGATGCTTCTGGATTTCTTCAACACAAGTATACAGTATCAAAGGAACTTCACTTTCCCAGTTAAGTTGTTTAACTGAAGCTGAGAAAACTAATGATACTCTGATATGTTTGAATATGTAGGCTTGGTTTTATGTGAAGTTGTTAAGTTTGCAAAGGAACATGCCAATGATTTTGGCAATCCAATTAGTAACATTTAAACATTTTCAACCACCTTGAGAAAGAACCCATGCACCAAATTTTAGCACCAAGCTTGCCCTTTAATCTTCTATTACTGGACTTAACATTTTAGAATTAAAACTTTTTACTGCATTTTGAATTTTTTTTTTGTCTTTTCGTTTTCCTCTTAGGGTCCGTTTGTTTCGGGTGAAAATGTTTTCCAAGAAAATATTTTCCTAATTTCCCGTGTTTGATTGCACAAAAGTTACTGAAAACATTTTCCTATGTAAAATATTTTCACTCATCTTATGGAAAACAACTTCCCATCCAAACTTACTGAAGTTGTTTTCCAAAATGCATGCATCCCGCCTGTAGTATGTTCCAAACTTACTGAAAATATCTTGTAGTATGTTCTTTTTTTTTTTTTAGTGTAAACAGGAGGACTCGAACCCAAGACCTCTTCCTTACACTCCCTCCCCCGTACCACCCAACCCAACCCTCCCCCTAGTATATTCAAAATAAAAAAAAAACTCCATCCTGCTCATCGTATGCTTGTAATTAATTATGTATAATAGGGACATTCTTTTCTAGAGAAACTTTCAGCAGTGAGAGTGCAAGATATATGTCACAATAAGCATTGCATGTGATTGATATTTGACACTAAATGGCCAGCAATTTGTTTATTGCTTAAGGAGATATTTTTTTATTCATATATACATTTCTCCAAGATTTTTTAAAGTTAAACAATGAGATAAATTTTCTTATTTTGCATGGGAAGAAGTATGTAGTTATAATGTGTAGAAAGTAAAGATAGAAATAAAAGTGAAAATATTTCAAAAGTTAAACAAACACTAGAAAAATAAAGTAAGAAAATATTTTCAATAAGCTAACCAAACACCTGAAAATGATGAAAGGAAAATAATTTTCATGGAAAATTACTTCCACGGAAAATATTTTCCCAAGGAAAACATTTTACTTCCAACCAAACAGACCCTTAGTTGTTAAATTCTTACATCTTGTTTTACTGAATATATGCTAAAGGTTAAGCAGGGTGAGATGGATTAGATAGTACGAAAGAAGGAATATAAATAAAAGGTTTCGGATTCAAAACCTTTCAATTATACTAAAAGAAAAAAAAGGTTAAGCTCCTGCGACTTAACCCTTGGAAACAGACTCGATAATCCACTGAACATACTTTCAACCTATCATCAATAAATAATTCAAAAAGCCGGCCTACATTTGAACGAAAATGCCAAGTCGTCTACCTATGATTTGTGTAAAAATAATCCCTCAAAATAATTAGTTTTTGAATCAGTAGTCAAATTGTTCATCGTTCGATACTTTAACCTCTGAGAACACATAATACTCGGTGTTAATTGTCTGCCTTTTTCAGTGCCTGTTAGCTTCTTTTGATCTTGTTCAGACGTGTTTGCCACTGGACTATCAAGTCCTCAAATATTTTTCATTAAGCTTCATCATTTACGCCCCAATTTTATTTTTATTTTTTATTACTTGCAGGCAAGCGTAATGCTTTTTAACAGACATAGAAAAGAAGATTAATTACAGATCAAGTCAAAGAAAATTCAGTTTCTACCCATACTAATACATATATAGGAAGCTACGAACATTGCCCCAATGTAGTACTACTATTAGGTTTAGTCTCTTGATTTTGGAGCAAATTTAACTAATTCCTAAGCTGTTAAAACAGCTTTAACCTCTAATAAAATGCTATTTAACTACACGGAGTAAAGCCCTTTTGAACGGCTCCATTGGTGCAAAATGTCGCCAACAATATCATAGAACTGGATATAAACATCGTACTTGGTGAGTTTCATGGTCATGAAACCTTGTCCATCATAATACAACTTCAACTCCTCAGGGCTCCATGGCCGAACATTTCCCCTCCATGCCTTTGATCCTCCACCACTCGTCAGAAATTGGAGTGGACTGCAATAGTGATCAAAGAGTTCTTAATTTTCCATCTGAAATTTTGTTCATTCTCATCAAAATATGCAATGTAAATTTTTTACCTGTCAGGGCTACTGATGTGTTCCAAGCAATGGTCGTGTCCATTTACGTAAAGATCAACATTGTTTTCCTAGAAAGTTCGTCGATTAATTGGTCGTTAGGCCATGATTAAGAACAAAATCAAGAGCTCAACTAAAAAATATGCTACGACTGTCATATTATACGGGCAAATACAATATATGCTAATACCGTCTAATCTCTTAAAAGATATATACATCGATGAATAATATGACAATCAAGGTTTAGACCCGTTCGAAAAAAAAAATGCGTCACATTATTGATGTTTATATAAATAAGTACAGCCAACAAAAAAAATTCGTTTATTAGTGGAAAATACAGCTTAATTACAACTGAATGGGATTAATCAAGATTACCTGAAGAACTGGAAGAAGTCTTTCCTCAAGCTCAACTGTGATTCCATGATCTCCAGCACTTTTCAGTGTATGGTGACCAACAACTATCTTCCAATTTGAACTTGATTCCTTTAGGGCTGTGTCTAAATCCTATTATGATTAATTAGAGGAGAATGTTAAGTACTTTTAATGTCAACGAAAGATTCCCAATTCAGTGCAGAAATGGAATTCAAAATAAATAAATTTTCCTCGTGTTGCAACTGCAAAAACTAAATACTCCTAACAAGAGCCATATGTAAAATTTTACATTTACCTTCAACTGATTTGAGAGATATTCCTCTCTGGGCAGCACTCCTCTCCAGTCATATTTATCATCTTCTGGGCGGAAGAAATATTTATCTACGAATGGCGTTGTATCGATGAAGAAAAATTCCGCAACATCTGCTCATATTTAATAGAAGAAAATGATGTCAATCCGGTTATAACTACTTTCTGCTGTCTAAAAGGAATGATATTTCCGATATAGCAAACTTCTTTGGATAAATAATCAGTTTATTTTCAGAGCTTAGATATGTATTGAGGTTTATCACCTTCCCTTGTTAATATATTTTGAGTATGTTGATTTGAGAAATTACCTGTATTGAGGATAAAAGATCTAAGACATAACCATTTGCTATCTTTTTGTCCGAGGATGGGATCCAACTGTGCCAAAACATCACCTCTATAGTCATGGTTTCCCAAAACTGCACCAATATTAGTTAGGACAATAATTAGCAGGCAACTTTACTCCAGCAAAAAAGATCCAACGTAATGGTGTATACACTATATGTATATATAAAATTTACTCTAGCGAAAAGGATTAATTTTTTTACACAATAACAGTGTGTATACTATCAGTATAGAATAAATGATAATTAACGTAAATTTGAATTTCTGTTATAATGTGTATACACTATCAGTACATATAAGATTTAATCTAATGAAAAATAAGGTGCTAAATGAAAATATAATGTTGGGTTGTGAAATTACCACTGTACCACTGCTTTTGGAGGCTTGGCCCCAAATAGATATTGCTAAATGACTCCTCGAATGCTGGATCCTCAATACCAGTCAATCCGTCTTCGTAAAAATTGTCTCCCGTAGAAATGATGAAATCTGGGTCCATCTGGTCTCCAATTTTTGCCATCTGTTGGAGGATAGCAATTATAGTATGAACCAAAATCATAATATAATTACATTTGCATTAGCATCTTGATTCATCTTCTGTACTTCAGTGTATATAACTTTTTTACTCAAAAAGAAAACAGAAAAAGGGTATTAAAAAGGAGTGCAGAATTTTTACAATTGTTAGTTTCAACTGCACCGTTCAATCTATGTAGCAGCATAACAGAAGTAGATATTAATATAATAAATGTAGACATTAAGACAGTAATGGATAAAAACACAACAATTTTTTACCATTCATTTAAAAGTCGTACTCTAAATTCAATTTTATTCATCCAAATTTAAAGGTTAAAAACAAAAAAGTCCCATGTGCTATGCCTAATACACAAAAAAGTCCCTCGTAGTTTCAAAACATATAAAATGATATCTCATGTTTTGAACTAAATTGTAAACTAACAAAATTCGTTAAAATTAACAAAAATGACGGTCTTGACTGTTAAAGTTACCGGATTCCGTTAAGTTTTCCGATAAGTTTACCGGATTCCTTTAAATTTAACGAATTCTGTTAGTTTACAAATTAGTTCAAAACATGAGGTGTCGTTTTGTATGTTTTGAAATCACGAGGGCTTTTCTGTGCAATAAGTATACCATATGGGATTTTTTTTTGTTTTTAACCCAAATTCAAATGAAACAAGTATGAGCCATAAATTCCCACACTTGTTTATGCGAAAAGAATCAGCATGGAATCTATGTGGAATAATACCTTATCTCCACCAGGAAGCTAGCTATTGGATGCCTAATAACTTAGGCAACAAAACCTTTGCTGACGAGAGGCAAGCTATAATTGGACAAGAAAAGCATCACAAGACTAAAGTTGAAAGCTACGTGGGAGAAAAGTCTAGTTTAGTTACGCAATAGCCAGGTATTATGAAGGGGAAAAAAGATAATGACTTTCTTGATTATTGCTATATCAAATCACATGGTAAACCAATTCACAGTCAATACAATTTCTTAAGAACTATTATGTATATTTCATGTTTATCCGAAAGCAAAGTTATGGGATGATGTTTACTTTGGTTAGTTAAGTTGTGCACTGGCCAGATGATTGTTTAGGGAGTGAAAAGATGATTTTATGTAAATATCATGTTTGTCCTAATTCAGAATCTCTATAATAATAAACTTCATCAATGGTTGATCTATGGAATAATATATATATATATATACACACACACACACACATCTGTGTGTAGATGTGTGTGTGTGTGTGTTTGGGGGGGGTGTGTGTTATGATGTAAAATCAAAGAAGCTTTTAATAAACATATGCTTGGCACTGTATTCTGACCAGAACAGGAAGAATCGTGAATGCTTTGAGCTGGAGCAAATAAATATTTCAAACGTATATCTTTGGGTCCAAAATAATGCAGTCTAATTCCAAACGGCAATAATGACCATAACAACACGTATTTGTTCATATCTACCACGTAATTTAATGGAAAAGTTCAAACCCAACCAAGAACAATTAGCAATGGTTTGTTAAACTTGATCTTTTATATATATATATATATTTATATATATATAATCCAATACATTCATTAAACCATCTAAAAGCGTGATCTAAATATCATCTAGTCAAGTGTAATCAAGAAAATATTGTTTCCATAAATACAGAAAGACAAGAACCTGAGCTGCAACTTCTGTTTGGTTATAAGCTCCTCTTCTTCCCCAGTCTCCAACAACCAGGATACTGAGCAATCCATCAGGTTTGATGGGATGTTCAAACCTTGGAAGTTCAGCCTTTGAGTAAACCAAACACAGCCCACAAATGAGAATGATCTTGTAGAGAAGAATGATATTCTGGAGGTTCTTGGAAGCCATGGATGTGGTTTGAAATACAGCTTCCTAAAGAGTTAAATTATCAGGGCTGTTTGGGGTAAGATGTATGGGGGGAAACTGAGAAAAGGTTGATTGAATAACTCAGACAGAAAGGTAGGACTGAAGAGGATGGTACCTAGGAAGCTTCCTCCTGATCTGTGCAAGTCCAACGAGTCCAACGAGTCATTTTTATGCATGGACAAAATCAGAGGAAAGGAAAGTGTCTTGAATGGGATGGAACTTGGGATAAAAATCTGTTTGAGCTTTTATAATTTGGACAAATGGAGACTATTTATTCAGAGCTCCTTTACACCTTTGACTCTTTGTGTGCGTGTTGTGTGGGTATAGATTTCTGTGCATAAGCATTTGTACACATTTATTCATATACATGTACATTTTATAAAGAAAAGTTTCACTTTTAGGAGATGGAAGATGTAGTAGTTGGTCCCATTGCATCTCCATGACTTAAAAAAAAAAAAAAAACTTGTCTTTCTTCTTTTTTTAGTCATGATGAAACTAACTTAATTAACTACCTAGAAAATGAATTCAGCAATTACTTATTTTTGCTTGTTAGATTGAACTTGCGTTGCGTGTACAAAAGGATTTTCTTTAATTTAATCAATCATGTGACTAACTTCTCGTTCAAGTGCGCATTTGCATGGGTCCAAGATGTTTTTTTTTTTTCCTCCCTTTGGCATGGGTCCAAGAGTTAATAATTCAACGGAATATGTAACCAATTGTCAGAGACAAAAAATCTAATGCGCAAATTATTAATGTCAAATCACTTATATACGTGTCCTAGATTTTCTTGAAATAAATCAAAATTTATAGGAGTAAGAGGTTCTGGATCTAATCCTCCTACTCCCTCACCACTCTTTAAATCTCACCATCTTCTACTAGAAAAAATTTAAAAAAATCAAGGATGGACTCCATTTTATACCTTTAAACTTGTATCACCTTCTTATTTTGCACTCTAAACTTTGATTTTGAACACCTTGCAACTTAAATTATTAACTTTAGGCACTTTGTATTTTGAACTCTCAATTTTGTCCTATTTAAATCCCACCAATGGCAACGTTAGTAAACTTATAATAGCATAAATGACTATACAAGTCAATGAAAATGTATTAGAAGTGATCAAAAGCAACCAAGGTATCACATTTAGAAGAAAATGATACATTAATTATTATAATTTGTATCATTCATTAATTGTCTTGTCAATTTTGCTAATAATATTCATAATTGGGATCACATGAATCAATAATAATGTCATAAAAATAGTAAATAGGAGTTAAGGGATTACAGGTAGAACAAAACTATACATTGTCATTAATTTATACCACCCTTTATCTCATGAATTTTGCTAACTTTGTCGGTTATTAGATTTAAAGGGATAAACTTAAAGAGTTTAGAGTACGAAGTATTCAAAATTGAATATTCAAGGTACAAAGTGTTCAAAATTAAAGTTTAAAACACAAATGAAGAAAGTGATACAATTTCGGAGGTGCAAAGTGATGTTAGTCTAAAAATCAAACTTAAATCAGAAGACAGAGACATCAGGAAATGTCAACTTTCTGAATGGTGGATGAGTACATTTAGTTCCACTACTTCCAATAGGTTCCCATACTTGTTTATCTTAAGAGAATCAGTATCAAATCTACATGGAATAATACCTTATCTCCACCACGAAAGTTAACTACTGGATGCCTAATAAATTGGGCAACAAAACCTTTGCCGACATGAGAGGCTTTAATTGGACAAGGAGAGCATCACAAGACTATAGTTGAAAGCTACGTGGGAGAAAAGTTTAGTTTAGTCATGCAATGGCCAGATGTTGTTATGGGGGTAACAAGATAACGATTTTCTTGATTAATGCCTTGACTAATCACATGCTAAACTAATACACAGTCAATATAATTTTTTAAGAACTATTATGCATATTTCATGTTTGTCCTAAAGCAAGAAATGGGATGAAGTTTAGTTTGGTTAGTTAAATTATGCACTCGCCATATTATTGTCTAGGGGTGAAAAAATGATTTTATGAAAGTATCATGTTTGTCCTAATTTAGAATTTGTGTAATAATAAACTTGATTAATCCTTGGAATTTGTATGTATATATGTATGTATGTATGTATGTTATGATATATCGTATGTAAGTAGACCTTGAGCACATATTTTGATTAATCAATGTAAAAAAAACAAAGTGGCTTTTGATACACATGTGCTTGGCATTGTTAATCTTTTCAAATTTGTTAATAAGTCTTGATAATGTCTTGTTGGTATTACTGTAGTCTGACCAAAACAGGAAGAATCATGAATACCTCTAGGCTGTTATATGCTGTCGACCGAGCAAATAAATATTTCGTATGTGTATCTTTGGGTCCAAAATAATGCAGTCTAATTCCAAACGGCAATAATGACCATAACAACATGTATTTGTTCTTATCTACTGCATAATTTAACGGAAAAGTTCAAACCCTACCAGGAACAACTGGCAATGATTTGTTAAACTTAACCTTTCTTGCTTTATAAAATCCAAAACATTCATTAAACCATCTAAAAATGTGATCTAAATATCATCTAGTCAAGTGTAATCAAGAAAATATTGTTTCCATAAATACAGAAAGATAAGAACCTGAGCTGCAACTTCTGTTTGGTTATAAGCTCCTCTTCTTCCCCAGTCTCCAACAACCAAGATACTGAGCGATCCATCGGGTTTGATGGGATGTTCAAACCTTGGAAGTTCAGCTTTTGAGTAAACCAAACACAGCCCACAAATGAGAATGATCTTGTAGAGAAGAATGATATTTTGGAGGTTCTTGGAAGCCATGGGCGTGGTTTGAAACACAGCTTCCAATAGGGTTTGTTATCAGGCTGTTTGGGGAAGATGTATCGAGGGAAACTGAGAGAAGTTGAGAAAAGGTTGCTTAAATAACCAAGACAAAAAGGTAGGACTGAGGAGGATGGTACCTAGGAAGCTTCCTCCTGATCTTTGTGAGCCCAAGGGGTCATTTTTTTGCACAAGATTTTACCTGAATATCAGAGAGGAAAAATAATGGGATAGAAATGCATGGTACAAAAATCTGTATGAGCTTTTACAATTTGGACAAATGGAGACTATTTTTCCAAAGCTCTTATACACCCTTGATTCTCTCTTCTCTGTTTGTTGTCTAGGTAGAGAGTTCTGTATATAAGCATTCGTACACATTTATTCACATACGTTTACAATTTTTAAAGAAAAGTATCACTATTAGGTGATGTATGATGTAGTAGTTGGTCCCATGCCTTCACCATGACTTAAAAAAAAAAAAAACTTGTCTTTTTTCTTTTTTACTCATGAAACTAAATTTAAATAATTAGCTAGAAAACAAATTTCAGCAATTAATTTTGTTTGCCAGTTAGATTGAGCTGGCGTTGTGTGTATAAAATGATCTTCTTAAATTTAAACGATAATCATTTTATTCTTTTAGAATATCTTTCTAGTTAATCAATGGTTAAATACTTAAATTATTAATATCTCCCATAATTATACACATTAAAAAAAAACAAAACGAAATTGTGACAATATCCAAAATTAAAAGGAAAAAAAAGGATCAAACCCTTGTATTCCTCCTATGAGTTTACGTGAACAGGGAAACTTCTGATGTAGCACTTATTATGCAAGTTCTGGAAAGTGCTCATTAATTTATTTCGGTGTTTCGTTTTCTGTTTTTTCGTGAAGTAAAATGTACTTTTTTGTTCATAAGTGATTGGATATTGAATCCCAGCCAACAATCCAGACAGATGGTTTATGGATTGCGTGCACGTTATCATAACTACTCTAGATGTATACGTTTTCAGCACTCTATAGATCAACTTAATTGATTAGCAGGCACTCATTAATATATAATTCAGGTATTAAATTTTTTTAGAAAAGTAAAGTTAATTAAGTAAAATATATAAAAAGGTATTAATTGTTAATGTGTGCATTAACATGATCAGGTAGATGTGATTTAGGTACATTAACGAGTGTTTATTAGGCAGTCGCTAAAAAAATCTTAAATTTAATATATATTGTTAATGTGTGCATTAACATGATCAGTTAGATGTGATTTAGGCGTATTAACGGGTGTTTAGGAGGTATTCGTTAGAAAAATCTTAAATTTAATACTCCACAATCACAAGGAGCACGTAATAAAATTAGAATTCACGTACATGTATGTCTGCTGCATAATTTCTACTAAGGTCAATTAGCAAATTTCAGAAGCATTTTCATAAGTAAACTTACCCACCACCAATACCATCCACAATTTCCCCCCACCCAAAACAAAAAAGGAAAAAAAATTAATTAAGTCCATAAATTTTAGTATTGAGAAAGTCAAGGAATCAGAAAAACTAAGGCCTTGTTTGGAAAGCCATTTTTTCCCAAAAAATTTTTACGTTTACCGTAAATGCATTTTTTTATTCCATATACATCAAATTGTTACAGTACATTTTTCTATAAAAAAAACTTTAAAAAATAGCAGCAATTAACATAAATAAGAAGGGTACTAAAATATCTTTGAATAATTAAACATCCTATTGTCCCGGTTAAAGCAGGAAAAAAAATTAAAAAGGAAAGTTGTCCACTTACTTGGCTTCAAATTCCACAGTCTATTTTGTTTTTAGATTGCCTTCGGAAATACTTTATTCTATGCCTAAGATTCCTTGCCTAAGTTGCTATAACAGACTAACTAACAATGTCCCTCAAATGTCGGCTACAAGCCCACAACCAATCCTGTCGTATACAAATTGAGAATCTCACATGGAGCAATGAGCAAAAAATAACTAGGGTAGATACATTTGGTGATTTTAATGTGCAATACAAAATCTTTTCAACTAGTCACTTGATGTATAGATTACAAACAATTATGTTGGATTTTTATCTCGATGGCTTTTGTTAACATAGCTCAATGATACTTAATTTACTACGTATATGCAGATATTAATAATTATTACTCTTCGTTAGATTCATACACTTTTTTTTAAATTAATTTTACATTTTTAAAAATTTAACACCTAAAACACATTTTAACATTTCATAGATACTCGTCATGAGTGCCCAATAAACACCTATTAGATGGGCTCATTGTTGTTTTCCGTTTCACAACTAAAAGAAACAATTGTAGAAAAAGAAAACCATCGTGTCCAGAAGTCTTGTGCCATAAACTGGCATTTGTGACTTTTTTACTGCAATAGTAAGAAACACACACACACACACAATTAGAACATGCACGAGAGTTAACGGATAAACCGGCCCAATAAACAAGCAATCTAAGAGAAACTCACAGAGCAACCCGATTCAGCCAATTGGTAAACTGGTATTTGTGACTCGTTAAGTTGAAAATTCAACTTAATTTCTGCAAGTTTTTTTGGTAGCTGGCATATTTCTTTGACCAACATGTTAAAATTCAAGTGACTTGGTAATGTTTAATTAAATGCTCCAAATAGTTCTTGACCCTCGTCAAATTGCAATTGATTTTTTTTTTTCCAAGTTATATTTGCAGGTCCAAATCAATCCACGTCTATCAAAATCAGGGCTGATCTGGATAGTGAATCATCCCATACTCTGTCGAGTGCCGACCCACGTAAGCGAAACAACACAGACAAACTTCAAACAAGAGTGCGTGATTTTGTTGGTCAGGATAAAGAAAGAAAGTCAACTGAAATGCGGTAGCTGGATTTGATGCAACTCTAGAGGAGCAAACTGGACAATGAAGATGAGGAGATAAGGATTTTGGAGTTCTGATTTCTGAACTGAAAGTCCAGTTTCTCAGAGGAGTTTCCCATTAGTTTCAATGCACTTGGCCATTTTACACCATTTGTTTGGTCTTCTCACATGGGATCAATAATTTGCACTATATTATTCAGGAGAAATTGAGAAGTGGAGGACATAACTTTTGGGTTGCATACTTGTAGACAATCCAGATGTTCTCCCACTTGCCCTTTTTTTTTTGTTCCCTCTATTGGCTCATCCACTCTTAGTACTCTGTTCCTATTAAAGATAGCATAAGTATTGTTTGTGGGACAGTCTTAAACTGTTCCATTCAAGGGTAGATTCCACCTATCTCTTGTAAGTTTGCCAATCTCTGTTATACCCAATTACATCATTACATTTATCTATTTATTTTATTCTACTTCGATTTTGATTTTTTTTATTCTTGTTTATTTTTATTTATGTGAACCCTGGTTGCTATGGCCATTGGGTTTCTCCTAAGGATTAAAATTATTAATGTTATTACAGCATGATTTGTTATTGAGGTTTGCCATTTAATACGTTTGGATTCTTGTAACAATTACTGTTTCCCATCTCAAGAGAAGAGGAAATTGGTGAGGATTGAGATATGTCTCCTTCAGCTGTAAACAAATTATAGGAAAAAATTTAGGATTAAAATTGAGAAAAGCAAGAAGTAAAATGATCAATTTTTGCATGTCAATTTATTCATTGATTTCTCAAAAGAATATTAAATTTAACAGTTAATTAAGTTGGTTGATGTCATTTTTCATCAAGCTACAAGGGAACTTAATGAAATTTATAAAACTAAATTAACAATATCTGCCAATGTATTTGTTCAAGTGTGGGGTGAGTTAGTGGACTCAGAAGAAACTACTGTTTTCAGGTCTTAAAGATTCAAATAGCCCTTGTTAGACCAATATGCTTTCTTTCCCCGAGAAAGAATTATAAACTAGTTTATCATGCATTTGAAGTTGCCAAGAACGTAATACCATTGAATAAGAAAGAGGCAAGACTTCTTTTGAAAGTGGTGTTATTTTCACTGGAGGAGCACCAAATCAACCCTAGTTAAAATCTGTCCCAGTGAACACCTTCCTCCGTTTTTGCATAATAGCATAGGTTTATGTGAAAGTGGGAAATACTTGAATATATGGTGCTATTTTCACTGGAGGAGCTCCAAATCAACCCTAGTTAAAATCTGTCCCAGTGAACACCTTCCTCCACTTTAGCATCGTGGCATAGGTTTATGTGAAATGGAGAAATAAAAGCCTGCATGAAAATGTTGGTAGAAGTAATAAGTAACTACATAGGACATGGAGGCAATTCAGAGCAGAGGTACTGCTTTCAAGACATTGAAAGGCACGGAATATACTTGCATGATAAGTGAATGTAGTATATACTTCAGCAGCATATCTAGGGCTCCTGTTGTTTTTAAGCATTTCATAAATTAGTTAACCTCAGCCTTGCAATTTTTAATGTCAGATAAAAAAAGTATGAAACCAGTGAGTGTATATTCCTAGACTAATAGAAGTCCCCCGCCTAACCATGTATCTATAATTAATATGGGCACCTATAGCTCTCTTCTAGTGTACTCAAGAAAGGATTCTTGTACTTTTTTCCTACAAAGTTTGGCTGATGGACCAATATGGTCCTCCATCTATCACCAAAAGTAATGACACATAATTTTCTACCAAATTTGCTCATTATATGTGGGAGAAAACATGTACCACTTTGTTATGAAATTAACAAAACAAAAAAAGGAAAACTATTGGCCCTCCAATGATCCTCTCAAGACAGCAAAGAATACATATAGAAAAGTCAACTTTTGATTGTTAAACCAAGAAGAGCCGTTGCACTATCAAATGCAATGGCTCTATCCTGACAGCATATAAACTAGAAAATGTGTGAAAACTATGCATTCCATTTTTCAGAAAAGGCATTTTTTTGTGAAGTGAGCTATGGTCTTCGTCAGGTATTAGAGGTACATATTGACTAGCATTGTAGTTGAAGAGCAAGTATGTCTTCATCAAGTTATCACAGGAGCTCAATTCGTGGAAAAGCATCGTTGAGGATCAAAAACAGAATTTGTGACCGCGGATGCAATGCAGCAATTAGAATTTCAGAAAGTGAAAGAAATCCAGATAGACTATATTTCTATTACACCAAATGTGACTATTTCAAGTGTCACATTCTCGATATTAGAGAGTATTTAAGTGTCATTATCAGAAACCTTGAGGGAGGTTTCTAAAATTATCCCTTACTTGATTGATTTCTCAATAGAATGTTGAATTTGACAATTGAACTAATTGGTTAATGGCATTTTTCAACAAACTACAAGGGAACTTGATGAGATTTTTAAAAAACTAAAATAACAATATGTACCATTTTCTT